TCATCGGACCAAAGTCTTTCATATCCACCGACATCGTCAGCAAGATGTGTTTAGTCCTAATAAGTGTGAATCGCATGATCCGGACTCGCGTGAGGTGCACTACGCTAACAGACGTATATGTACCGTGCCGAAAACGCTGGCCTTGCTTCAGTCTTCGTTTCCCGGGGCTTGGTCCGTTTGCTTAGCGTGGCTGTTGGCATATTATCTCGGCAGAGAACGTCTTTGGATGTCAGAGTGGTTTTTAGGTCTCGCCAATTGGAATTATACAAGAGGTGTACTACTTGAAGAGGGTGCTACTGCAGTCCGTCCGCCAATGATGGCAACATCTGACGGCAATGCATGAGTCCTATTCATCGGACCGTGGTCTGGCATATCCACCGACATCGTCAGCAAGATGTGTTTGGTCCTAATAAGTGTGAATCGCATGATCCGGACTCGTGTATAAGGTGCACTACGCTAATAGACGCATATGTACCGTACCGAAAACGCTGGCCTTGCTTCAGTCCTCATTTCCCGGGGCGTGATCCGTTTCCTTAGGGTGGCTGTTGGCATAATATCTCGGCAGAGTATGTCTCTTGATGTCAGAGCGATTTCAAGCCTTGCTCGTTGGAATTGTGCAAGAGGTGCACTACTTTAAGAGGGTGCTACGACAGTCCCTCTGCACGACATGATTGCAGCATCTCACGGCAATGCATGAGTCTTATTCATCGGATCGAAGTCTTGCAGTTCCATCGACATTGTCAGCACGATGTGTTCAGTTCTAAAGGTGTGAATTGCATTATCCGGACTCGTGTGTGAGGTGCACTACGCTAACAGACGTATATGTACCGTACCGAAAGCGCTGGCCTTGCTTCAGTCTTCGTTTCCCGAGGCTTGATCCGTTTCCTTAGGGTGGCTGTTGGCATATGATCTCGGCAGAGTATGTCTCTGGATGTCAGAGCGATTTCAAGCCTTGCTCGTTGGAATTGTACAGGAGGTGCACTACTTTAAGAGGGTACTACGACAGTCCCTCTGCACATGATTGCAGCATGTCACGGCAACGGAGTAGTCATATTAATTGAACCCAAGTGTTGTAGTTTAAGCGACAATGTCGTCACGATGTGTTTGGTCCTAATAAGTGTGAATCACATTATCCGGACTCGTGTATGAGATGCACTGCGCTAATAGACGTCAATGTACCGCACCGAAAACGTTGGCTTGGCTTCGGTGTTTGATTCCCGTGGCTTGGTCCGTTTTTTAAGACTGCTGGAAATGCTTCAGTTCCGCCGACATTGTTGGGTTTTTCTCTGTGCTGTCTGTTTGGAAATATCAATTCGAGACACGAATGTGAAAAACTGGGATACTTTTCTTGATTGCTCGAATGTACGTAATTTGGTGCTTATGTTGCCCTTTTAGTACATGCTATAAATCGTCGGCTGTCTGCGTGTTAAAAATCATATGACCTGTTTGTGGCCGAAATTATTATATTATCAGATGGTTATTTCTTGAAGATGATAGGCAATCATGCGAGCATTGTGAGTAGCAGTGGTCGAAACGACGTAGTGAATGGTGTTAATTGCCTGCTCATTATTTTTGGTGCGAAAGATGTCGTTTGGATTGTATGATTTCAAAGTCGGGCAATCCTGCTAACGCGAGCTGGTTGAGCCCGTGCCGCACTGCGCGTAAAACGCTCGCGGTGGAGATTTTTCTTCTTCTAAAAAAGGTGAAGTACTTGAAGAAAACCCCTTCCGCTCCGTCCAAACCAGAGGCACTTGTCGCGATTGTGATTATCAAGAATGAATCCAACGTGCTACTGGTATAGTCGTTTCGGAATGCGGAAGAGTTGTTTATAGGAGGGCTGTTCGCATTCTTGGTGAGTGCTAATGTTTGTACTTAAAGAACAGTGGAAGGGCTGTTACAAACAGTGAGCAATCCTTGTGGCTCACTTTTTGGAACAGTATTCTGGTTAAATGATATATTCTGGTCAAAAGGAGTGACAGGCATGCCATTCAACATGCATGTAACACATTTTAAACATCAGGTACTGACAAATGAACAGCAAGAAAAAAATAGATATGTTCCAGAGCCCCTACTTTGGAGACCCATTTCTTACTATTTTAGTCAGTTGGTAATTGGCCTAGTAGGTCAGTCTTAAAAAAATTCATAATATCAAGGTATTGTTTGACATATCGGATGCCATTCATTGAAGTGAAAGTAATGATCAGTCATATAATTGGAAGTGCTTTACAGGGATGTTGAGACCTGGACATTGCAACAAGGAAAAGGTATGGTTAGGTTTATTGTTGGCTTAAAGGTCATTGCTGCAAGACAAAGTAGACTTTCTTTCTAGAATTAAGATGCCTGGTTTTGTCACAAGTTGATATGTGATATGTATTTGTTAAGGATACTTTTCCTTCTATTTCATAGTCACATAGGTTTATATTCACATTTCATGAATTACCCTTAAATATCTGTTACCAAGCGTGCTTGGTATCTATGTGCTGAAATAGCATGAGCATCTACAATTTTTTAATCTGGCAAGCACTCAGATATCAGTCTTCAGCTGGAGTACTTTCAGCAAAAATCCTGATGCATTGAACATCCTATCAGGTGAAAACACATTTCTTTGGGCTGCATGTTGAGGGCACAAGATACAAATGATTCCAGGCTGCCTGGTCTGTTTAGAGCCACAGGTGGCCTGCTACTAATATGCCATCTTTTCCAGTGTGCCCCTGCATTTCATGGGAGAGCTTCAAGCTACAGTGGAGTTCTCCATTGAACTTCATAAGTTTTTCAATGTTGACCTTTTCCAGAGAGGGTATGTACGACACATTTGGTTGTGCTGTAAGTGGAACAACCTGAATATAAAACATAGTGCACTAGGGTGTTTTGGGACCCCAATGAATGTTTTCTTATCCATCCTCCATGCGTTTAGCTTGCTTTAAGAGCATACGCGACACAATGCTTAAGATGGATATGCGTCGCATAAGCATATCCATCCTCCATCCTTAGATTGTTCCACTTGCAAAACAAAACAACCTATAGGAAGCCCAGGCCTTTTCTCTTTTAGACTTTTGATTATCTGTCATTTTGATGAAGCTCTGATCCTGTGATGAGATATGCATTGCCCATATATATTTGTGTGCTTTTTCCATCTCAATATGTTTGTCTATATGTCAGAAGATTAACCTGATAGTGCACTGCATATGCATCACATGATATTCATGTTGGCTGTTTTTGGGTATATATCAGCTGCAGTACTTGATATTGACTTATTAAATATAAGGGCAGATGCATTTCAATTGTGGCAGAGTTGGATGTTTGATAAATGTT